GAGCTCTGCTTATCAGCTCCATAGGAATACAGATCCTGTGGTTTTCATGTCTGTAACACTTTCCTTCTTTGCCTCACCCTCTCAATTGTAAAACTTTTTTTTTCTGTTGCCGCTGTTCCCCTGAGGCTTTAATGTTTACACAGCTTTTTCCATGGCTTTGCTTTGTAAGGACACAGCCCCAATTAAAGCTGTGATTCTGCAATATTATGGAAAAAAAATAACACAAGTTCAAAAATTTCTTTTGAAGAGGCTGATTGCTGTTAACCAGCCAACAAGTTAGTTAGCATATTGCTGATTCTTGTTTTCATCTCTCAGTTTGATTTCATCACTGTAGCAATGAGGTTAGCCATACAAAACTTCTCAAATGAGCAATATCTCAGGAAGAAATATTTATTAAAATGCTGCTTTTAAGCACTGGAATCTTAAATATTTTTGAAAAACTAATCAAAACTCAAGAGTGATAAACACATTCAGGGGATCATAAGGATGGAGGGCTCTTATCAAAGCTGTTGAAGCAGCAGGGCTCTGATATACTTGCATTGTAACGGGGGTGGGAAAGAGGGTCCTGGAATCTCAGTTAAATCTTCACCTGTGGGAAGGAACCTTTGTAATAAACAGCAGCTCATCTGTCTGCAGCAAGGCAGAAAAAGGTCAATGCAACGGCTGTTAGGCCTTTAATATTTTAATTTAGGCAATTATCAAGGGACCACATGTAGAACCTCTTGTCTACAGAATCCACATGAGGGCATGATGATGACTCTATTATCCAAATGACATAAAAAGATACCCTAGCAGGTATACTCACTTTCTTTGGTAAGAAACACTGTCTGACCAGTTTTAATGATGTTACGTTCATTTTACTTTACAAAAAGTATATACTTATTAATATATTTGCGTTTATATATTTATACGTATATATTTATATATTGTTTCTTATATAATTATGTTTATTTGTACAGCATATTTACTCATATGTAAAGGTAATAGTGCTTCTGTCACATTTTTATCACATCTTATGTGAATGTGCTTTATCTATTCTTAACTAGGCCCCCCGCTACCCACATCAGGTATGTTTAGCATTAGCTACTGATGAGAAGGTAGTTCAGACCTATCATGATTACAGAAGAAACATGCAGCAGTAACTGCTAAGCCATCCTTCCTCCCAGGATGTCTGTATATATATAAAGTCAATGCATACATTCTCACACTCAAATCAGAAAAAATTTCATTTACCTACTCAATCCCAGACAATCCCTCACCCAAAATACTTTTTGTAGTACACAATAAATACATATATAAAACATGAAGATATGACATACATGTTCCATACATACTTGAATTATACTGTGACTTTTGTCTCCAAAGTAGCACCTATAAAGTGATTACATACAAGTGTTCAGGGGCGCTTTCTGTGCTTGTCAGTATTTATACATGTATATAATGTTTTGACAAAAAAAAAATGAAAGGTGCATAATTCAGACCCAGAATAAGCAGGTTAGTCAGACTTTGAAGTTATACAAGGCTTCTGAGGCTACTCACTACATGCTCCGCCTGTTCTGTGTTTCTATTGACATACAACATACATACCTACCACTACAAGATTTACACTTTTTCCCAAGTACAATACCCTGAAAAATGAAAAATTAGTGAGAAGTGAAAATTCTTTTAAAAACTACAGCATAATTGCCTTTAAAAAAAAAAAAGTCTAGAGTCCTCTGTAGAGGTTTAATTTTCATAAAATAAAGATGACTGAAAAAATGACAGCAGAAGAGAAATACATTTACCATCTTCCATTCTCTCTGTGGTGCTTACATTTTCAGAACCTGGTAACGGCAGGTGTTTTATAAACTATATGGTGTGACAGAACTTAATGAACATTGGAGGAAAAATAAACCCTAATTCAACAGATACTCACTATAATGTGCTTAACAAAACCAATAACAATACTACTTAGACCTCCAGCATTTACTTCTGCTTAACATACTTTCTTTCTTTTACTCAGTATTTATAATACCAAAGCAAGGCTATGTTCAAGATCCTTCCGTACCCTACAGGTCATTGGTATTACAGCCCCCAACCCTCCTCTTGCTGTTGTACTACCATTATGTGTTATAACACCAGGACAACAATAAACTGAAAGACAAAAAAAAAAGCTTAAGAGAGGAGAAAAAAAAAAGCGCACAATCTATGTCCCACTCCTGCAATGAACTATTCGTGCATCAAATTCCACTTACCAACACATACAGGTTCTCATATTTCTCAATTCTTTGCCATATCAGAGTCTAAGAGTTTTCTCTTTCTGGTAAGAGTCATTAGAAGACCAGACTGCTGACCATACTGGCAAAGAGCAATGCTGGAGCTCCTCAGATACAGCAGTACATTTGTTATATTATGTTAGAGCATTGAACACGAATGTTCACTATCATAATACGGGGTTATGTGGTTACCTGTCTTAAGCTTCATTATCAAAAATGAAAAAAAAATTGATATTTACAATTACCATGTTCTAAGAAAATTACAGACTACATGACACAAAAATGGCCAGTATATTCCTATCTACGGCTAAGAAAAAAGCCCTCACACAGCCATGCACACCAGCTTGAGCAGCTGACACACAGGCACAGTAGACAACCACAGCTAACTTGAGACACAGAAGAAATGAAATGAAAATGCATTTAGCAATACACTACTGATAAGTCAAATTTGCTGTGACACACCACAAGTCCTCACTAACTTCTTTAAGCCAATTTGTTGACAATTCTAAAATCTAAAATGCAGAAAACAAACACTGTGGCACAATGGGCCTGTAACGCGGAACTTTTTTAGTCATATTAATTTTGTTCTTAGCTGCATGATATTCTCAGGAGAGAAATTAATTTTACAGTGGCAGAAAATATGTATTAAGACACCAAACCATGAGTGTCTACATAAAAATAGCTGTTCTATTTTTATTATGACAATAGAAGTAAAGAGAAAGAGAACAGCCTAGACACTCCATATGAGCTCCTCAAACCATTGCTCTGAAGCCTCCAGTGTAATTAAAATTTCTTTCTTTGGTACCATGATGGACCACGTGAAGCGATCAGACATCTCCCACCCTTCATTTTCAATTCACCTCTCTGCCTAAGCACAACTCCCAGCCCACCCCATCTACCTGACAAGTGACAGCCCAATCTGATTAAACGCTTGCAAGGGAGGGGACTCATGGGCCTCCATGACAGGCCAAAAGTGATCACCATGGAGATACATAATTACAGCTGTCAACGCGTCTACTGTCCTGCTGGCATCAATTTGATTGCTCCCAGCAATAATGATAGACAAAGCTTAGTGTGCACTCTCCTGCACCCAATCACTTTATCTATTCCGTGGTCCATTTAGCTGACATGCAACATTCACACAAGCAAATAACAGCAGTAAGCAGAACATTTAAGGCATTTTAATTGTTTTTTCTTTGTATGGATGGCTCACAAGTGCAAATGTTATTACATAAAACTCCTGCTGCAGCATTAATTGAAGAAAGATTTGGTGGGACAAAGACTGTAGGGGGTATACTTTGTCCATTATCACTTGTACTTTCAACAGGTCTCACGTTTGGAAAATTGCAAATTGCAAAAACTTGCAAGGGCAAAATGTTTGACATCCTGTTAGCTATTACAACATGGTGAAAACTTCTAACAACCACTGGAACATTCATTATAAATTCTTATTAAATACACTCTGTTTCATTTAAAAAATTGTTTAGATACATCCAATGATACCTTTTTCCCTCATCTCCTCTTTAAGATCACATAATGCCTTTTAGATCTTCACAATTTTTTTCTGCTTTCAGGCTTTGAACACAGCATGAAGCCTTAAAGACCAGAAAGGGTCAGGTCCCTTCGGAAGGTACACAGGCAAAAACAATTTAAGAAGCGAAATAAATCATATATCCAATAACATCTCCACATTTAAGACTCCTCCTGTAATCTTCCACTATTTTCCGTGCAAGCAGACTGAATAATCTTATTCACAGGCAGTACAGCCTTGTCATTCCACTAACTGACACAGAGTCATGTATCTGTGCACTTATGACTTAGACTACCTTGATTTTACAGAAAAGCAGTGTCCTTACTCTTTATGCAGAAACACTGTTAAACAGCCCTTCCACATAGTTAAACTGTATCCTGAAACATATAATAATTGCTGTAACAAATTTCCTCTTTAAAGTCTACAAAGCTACACAGAAAGCACTGGCAGTTTCTCGCTGGTGTTTGCAGAACTCCGTGATTAAAGAGCTGTCTCAGTGTTTCACTGTCCTTTCTAATCACCACAGTACTTTCACTAAAGCTGTGTTTGAAAAACTTAAGCTGAAAGTTACAGAATGTAACAAAATATTTCAACATATAACAGTTTCCTGTTATATCCAATTTGAACATTTTAAACACAGTTTAGAACTGTACATTTTTAAGCATATTTTCAGGTTGCACAAATAAGTATGGCCACGTTCTGTTTACTGACACAAAAAAGCTGGAAAAAAGACCTGATTTACAAAGCTACTGACTACATATTGTCTCTGTCTATAAAAGAAATACTCAGCACCTATGAAAACCAGAAGCAAGTTACTTACACTTGGCACATGCAACGGTTCCTGATACTGAGACAGTTTACCAACGGATGGCAGGCCAAAAGATTTGTAGGGGTCCTGAAATAAAATTCAACATAAGAAAGCATTAAGCTTTTACAGATGCAGAGAACATTAAAAAGCTTGAAGTCTAACAGAAACCACTGCTGGAATAACTTTGTTTTCTTCCCCAGAATTACTTGCACTGAAGTAGATTTCTTCATCTACCTACCCCTGCAACTCCGAACAAAGAACTAGAAGCACACAAATTCTCTTGCATCACAGTCAAAAAAACAGGAAAGGAGTTCTCTGCACACAGCTACAGTACACCACCAAAATATACAAGATGACATTTTAATTTGCTACATGTCGCCTCAGAAGAAGGATGGGAAAGTATTCAGAAGAGTGGATTTGAGAAGAGAGTATAAGTAGATGGATCCATTAATTATAAATGTGAGGGAATCTAAGTTGGAAAAAAAGAAAGCTCAAGCATCAGTTACTCCAGGGTAAAGCCTACTCATACTCAGGATAGCTTCCATGCCAATCACAGGGCAAATATTTATTCTTTATCAAAATAGTTCATATAACTTCTCATCAGTAGAGCACGTTGGGGATTATGTGCACGTCATGAAGAGAAAGAGAAAACCAACATAAAGTAAGATGCCCTGGGTCACAAAAGCCACAATAGTTAAGCAAGGGAAGAAACACCTCAAGGTGCTAAATTATTTTTTAAAAGCACAGTTACCTAAAATGTTCCTCAAATAAAATGAAGAAACTCATGCATAATTTTTAAATTAACAAGTCATGATTTTCATGAATCAAAATTACAGCAAAGAAACACTACCTTGAAATGTCCTAAACACGCTTGAAAATGGGGTTTATTTTAGTAAGCTTTTTTAAGGTAAGACACAGAGTCATACCGTAATTATAAAGTTATTATCTTGGAGTACACTTTGAAAGCTTGTCCTATAAGCTGTAGTTTCAGAAGATACATAACTGGTTTTTTCAGCAATCTATGAAAATGTTTTCCTACAACAACAAAAATTTTGTCAGTCATTGAATTTCAACTCTTTTTAAGACAAGTTTCAAGTACCCAAGTTAAGAAACCCGTAAAGACTAGTTAACTCTAGCAAATAATTCCAGCATCAGCATCATTAAATGTGAACAGAACATATATCAAATGTCCTTAGAAATAAACCTTAGTTACCTCTTTTATCACATTTAACTTTGATTTTCATCAAAAAGGTATGTTGAAATACATACTGTATTTTGAATTAGAAAATAAAAGTTCTGCAATTCTACAAAAGCTCATTAACCACTTGCATTACATAATCTAAATCATGACTTTCATATGATATTCCTTGACTTCACCTTGGCATCTATCCACACCTGGGTATTTTTACTCCACAATTCACTCACCTACCCTCCTCCCCATTACCACTCATTTACCTCAGCATAAACTCGACATTCAACCGCCCAGCCGTTGATGGGAATATCAGCCTGTTTGTGCCTGAGAGGGTAACCCTTAGCAACACGGATCATTTCTTGGACTAAGTCCAGGCCAGTAATGCATTCTGTGACGGGATGTTCAACCTGCAAGGTCAAGAACTGTCAGTCAGTAGGTAACAAAAACAACAGCAACAACAACAAAAAAAAACACTTTCCATAAACAAACACAGATAAACAAGAAATTAGACCAAAGAATACATTCCATCTTGGTCTTCCCAAAAAAAAAGATTCTACTTGACAAACTCCAGCAACCACCTTCTCTGCAGTGAACCCCCCAAAAAACAAAATAACTAGCAGATTACAATAATTAGCAGTATACAAAAGAAAAACTACAGAGAACACCTGGGAGAGTTTGGGGGTTTGCAGGGTTGGGGTTTTCCCCAATTTATTTTACCAATTCAAACGCACCTGGTGACAAGTTAATTTTTCCTTGTCTGGAAGCTTTTCCCACACAATTTTGTTTTGAAAAGACTCGCATCGTAGCCATAAATATATTGTAACTGAAAATCTCAAAGTAGCTGATAATCAACCCATTCTGCTACCCCTAACATAGCACATACAGGAGTCGCTTACAATTTTCCATAGAACTAGCCTACCCTAAATCTCACCCATTCGCCTGCTTTCACTAACCTGTCCTGACAAGCAACCAGATTAGCGTAATCTTGCATCAGCGCAGTGTAGCAGAAACGAGCAGATGGATCCTTCAATTTTTCCCCGCCCCCTCCAGACTTATCTGTTTAGTGCTTAGCATGCACAATAGCTGGGCTGGACCAGCAGAGTCACTCTGTGCTCTCAGTAAATTGCTGCTAACGGCTTTGGATGATGCTGCCATGGGAATACCCGTCGTTCACACTAACCCCAGCATGTGCGTACAAGCATGCACACATGTGCGTGCATATGCACATACACACTTTTTTCCTTGAAATAGGGATATAAACAGACACATTTATTAACTTTAAAACACCTTTAGACACCCAGACACAGGAGGGCACACCGTATAGATGAAGTAAAAGATAGGCATGCTAAAAGCTTGTCCTTCACAGAGATGGCTGTAAATCTTTGCATATATAAGTTAACGACAGAACTGCCATTTTTGTTATAAAATGCTTGTGTTCCAAGGGCCAAAACCTAAAGAGAACACACTTGACAATGGTTTCTCTACCATGAAATGTCACACTGTATTTGGTGACACAGGAAAACGTTAGTGACCAAACCACTTGTCTTTCTTCTTTCAACTACGCTAGTACTAAGGAAAACATTTAGTCATTATAATAATCTTGTGGCTTATCAGAACAAGAAGATGCTTTGGTCTTTAAGAAAAAAGCTTTGTAAAAATAAACAGATGGCATCCATAATTAGCCCTGTGTGTGCTGTGAGTTTGTTTAGAGTTTCAACAATATTTTAAGACATTTTGACATAATTTTAATGACAAATCATCACTGAAACAAGCACCTATTCTTTGAAGGATAAAAGTGACATTGAAATGGGAATGTGATTACACAGTTTAAGGATGTACCTTCGGGATTCAATCTTGACTCTACCTAAATACATGATATTCTCCAGCATGTCAAGCTTAATAACAGTATTTGGAGAATCTATGAAACATCTCAGTCTACCCTGCAGTGCTAAATTGAAGCAATTCCATTTCTATTAAGACTTGAAGTTTCTATTAAAAATCCCTAAGTTTTAACAGAAAGTTACTTATCACATTCATATCTGGACAACAGAACTTGTTCTCTTATTTTGGAATTTAAGTTTTTAAAAATTACTATTAAGTTTAGAAAACATTTGGAATTCTAACGCTCCACATAACTAAAATACATTTCTTTTTCTGAAGACATCTGCATTATTTAGTTATGCTGTCATTTTTCTTGGATTGCAATTGGCATTCCAGACTCAATAGCTTTGTTGTTGTTTTCCGCTTTATTGTTGATGATCAAAATAGGATGGAATGTTTCTGGAAAGAAAAATATTTTTGTTGTTTGGTTCTTACGACTCACAAACATTTATTTAATCCATTCTTCAATACAGATCTTTGACTTGGTCAATATTTTCCTCTGTTTCTTCAAAATACTCCCTTTGTGTCTGCACACAAAACAGCATTCAGAAAATACGACAAGGAAAATTTTTTTGAGGTTTTTTGGGGTGAGGAGAAGCTGTTCTGCTTTCTTTTAGGACTGTGCTTGAACTAGTGCTGTTTAGGCATAACATAGACAGTACCAATCATATCACTAATTTTACGGTACTGAATACATTTAAAATACATTTTAGCATACATTAAAACCATCAGATCACCAAAATGGGGTAGAATAGAATTCTAACCTTGAAATCCTGGTTGACTTATTTGTAACTTTAACCTTTCAGTGAGGTGCACAGCCCAAACCATACTTGTTTTAGCAGTTGCTGTTTTCTTTCGGCAAGGGGAGGTGCAAGAGGGGGTCAGTATTTTTAGCATTATAGGGAATATGCTTCAGCATACAATACTACAGAAGGACATTAACAAAGTAGTAATGTCATATCCTGGTTCAACAAGCACCCTGCAATGAGGTTCTGGAGGTGCAAGAATCCACCCATGCAGAGATACAGGCAGGCTCTGAAATTAAAGCTCAAATCTTTTACAAAGCAAGGAAGAATGGAGGCAGAAGTGAAGAAATTAGACCCCTCTTCTCCCTCCCCTCACAAAAAAAGAAAAACAGAGGCATCATCATTCCCTACTTATGAAAGCTCTAGAATAACTCTCACAGCTATTTGACTACGATAACTGTTTTATCTATTTTTAAATCATTATTAAAAGCTAGGCTTCAAATTTTTTCCTCTTTTACTTTTCAGCCTTCTACTTCAGGTGTCATTCTTATTTTGCCTGCCTGTTGTATTTTCTTCTTATTAATTTTATGCTATACCTGTTCTCCATCAACAGCTTTAGCATCCACAAAATGGGAAGTGAAGTCAAGGACTAAATATTTAAGTAAATGAAGGCAACTATGCTCACAAACAGAGCTGAATCCCACTCAATTGATCAACTCTTCTAGCTTTGGACCATACTCAGATTTTGTAGTCAGCTGATCCAAGATCTTGCCAATGAATGAAGCCCCAGTCAATAAGGTAAGAGGCAATGGTGGTATGGTTATATGATAGTGGGTAAATTCACACGTTATCTCCATCCTTAACACAAAAGGCAAAACCAGACATGTCTGCAGCAAGCAATGTACAGATCATAGCTATATCAAGGCAGCTGTGCCTTATTCTCAACAGGACAAGCAGAAAAATTGATCACCAATAACTCTCGATTAGCTAGCTGCCAAAAGTATCACCTACACTACCAGTTCCTTTACTTATACCAAGTCTGGTCATAAACGACTTAAAACAAACCATCATTTCAACGCACAAAAGTACAATGCATATCTCCTTAAAAAAGTCTTTCTCCTCACTTTCTGTGATCCACATACATCTCTTTCTCCGAAAAATGCCACTTATGTTCCTGCTTTCAAGTCCACAAAGCTGTAGCTGTTATAACCAATAACATACAGGGTAAAGGGAAAGTGCTTCCCCTTCATACTGGATCTGCTCTTCTCCAGACGCCTCACAGCAATCAGCTTCCCCACGAGCATTACAAGTGTCTTTGCTTCCCTAACCTCTTTCAGTCTACACAGCAAGCAACACTGGTGGCAAAGCGCGTAAGAAAATAACTAAGACCCAAACTGTTCTATGATTCTGTGATTCCATATAGATGACAAAACAGGTACAAAAAGCTAGGGGAACCTGTCAGCATCACAGTCCAGTTAGTATCCGTCCCCAGAACAGTACAGAGAGGCTGCTAACTCATCCTGTTCTGTGACTGCCAACAGTCTTAAAGCTTTACTGTACTGGGGTTCATCCACAGCTACAAAAACAGTCATGTACTTTTTAGGAACAGTTGGAGCTAAGAGTTAAATTAACGATGACTGCTCCCCTTATACCCAGGGGAATAATTTCAGAACACATTTTTCTCAAGACCATCAAGGTACCCAGATCTAATAGCAAACTTCTGGGTAGTTTCACAGATTTCTCTTGCCCCCGTGTGCATAAGGCATCAAGTTACTCACACACCAGCTGGAGCATTCAAGCACACCACAGTGGCCAAGAATATCCAAATTTCAGCAGACTTAAAACTACAGCCTATGTCACCCCTACTACTGTACATCCCTAGTTGATTTCATATACTCCTTTGCCTTCAGATAAATAATCTCAAAACTAACTTTCAACATCCACCTCAGTTTCCAGGATCATGATTCACCTGGCATCGCATGGGTTTTTCTGTGGCAGGCAAATCCAGTATCAATTGACGCAAACCCATCAGCTTACAGATGGCTCCTCAGTCTCCTTTATTTCAGTAAGCCTGGTTTCTATTTCAGAGAACTGAACAACAACAGAGGTGCACACATGTTCTGCTCTTCAGGCATGCCAGTTTCCTGACTAGTATGAGCAGGAGCACTCTGGGGTCACATCTTCCTTCCGCAAAATAGTTCACAACAGCCATGTATATGGGGTTTGAAGGCACATAGTAAAAAAAAGCTTTTCAGAAAGGCTGCTGGAGAACAATGTTTGGACTAATGCACAGAATGAAAGGAAAGCACACAGGAATACATAACAGGCAATTTCCTGTTGTCCTTTTCTATAGACATAGTACATAACATGAGTTGCTGACTATTTTCAGATTTATTATTATGTGATTGAAGAACTGAGTGCAACCAAAACTACAAAAATTTCCATAAACTAAGATGCTCAGGTGACTTCTTTCATTGTTTCCTAAGAAAGATGTTGTAGAAATAAAAACTAATGCACAGACGTTTGGTACCAAATAATTTTTTTTAGTAACAGCATATAATAACTTCAAAAAATATTTAATCTACTTCCTCACAGGAATTTATCTTCCAATAATCATTGATTCAGTTTTGTCAATTTTTCTTTGCAAGGATTTGTTTCTTTATTGTACTGGACAGACATGGGCAAGAAACCACTTACATAGCCCATGAATATTGAATCTGTCTTTTCTGTGCTTTAAACAAGTACCACACACTTTATACCAAGAAGTGACTTAGCTCACA